TTTTTGATCGGTACATGTACCGAAAAGATGGACAGGCGGCACTTACATGTCTGACAAGTTTCGCTGTGTAGTCGTGACGTCTATCTCATTCTGACTGAAGCCTGCTGTGATTGGTCGTAAGCGTGGGAAAATCGAGGTCGTGACCTTGAGCCGGAAGTACTTCTGGCTGTGCTCCGAAATCATGATAAATAGTTTTCGTTTTCTAATTCTTTATTCTAGTTGTCTTAACAGGACTTTTGTGACTCAGACTTATTAATATAATAATAAACAATCTCACAAAATACAATTCTGATCAAAGTTTTACATAGAACCTGCTTCTATACATTAATCTAACCCACTGAGACTGTCTTTAATTATTCGGAATCATTTCATGTCACCAAAACCATTTGATAGCCATCTTTTTGTACAGCTAATATCCTGAAAATACTATTTTAAGGCTATCCAGGTAAGCTATAATTACAAAATTTGTTTCAGCAAGTCACACAAAATAGACCTACTTTTCATTTAACAAGCCAATTTTGAATGGGTGACTTAGGTGCATAGCATTTTTTTTTTCTTATTCACAAAAATATACTTTGAACTAATGTCACCCATTCTTAGCTTACAAGTATTATACACAGTCAGGTTTTGGTAACTAAAAATACATGGGATTCTTCCAAATTAAATGCCTATACATGGAGGAACCTTATTTTCATACAGCAATTTTTCTGTTTGAATAAAAATAAAACAATGGTACATGTATCTTGTTTTGGAAATAGGACAGCATGAAACTGCAATAACTGAAAAGTGTTGTGATAAACATCTTCAGTGTTCTTGGAAATCAGTGAGGGAAAATGTACTTTGTAAACTAACCATTCAATGTTGGTTTTAAACTAGGCAGATGCAGACATCGCAGATATCATACCAAACCCCCAGTTTCATCCAGCTACAAACTTAATAATAAACTTATAGGTAACATAAAGTAATATATTGGCCAAAAACATGATAATAAATATAGGTAACATAAAATGATATATCGGCCACAAATTTAATAATGAACCTACAGTTTAGATGAAACAATCTATTTACAAAACAGAAAAAGTTAACATTTGTAAACACATCTCTCTTTCATTTTCACTCCTTTCATAATGTAACAAACTTTCTTTGAAACAAGATCTCCAAGACAGTGTTTACAACCCCCAGGCAATCAAAAAATTAAGCCCTCTGCATATTTATTGCTAGCAAATACATGATCTGGTAAACTGAATTCACCTGAACCTCTTTCCTGTATCATAAGCCTAATCCAAAAGTTAACAGCTGCTTGCTTAAATATCAATATAATCATTTCAAAAGAGCAAGTTCTACTCTCTCTTTTAACCTAAAACTTAGCTACAAATCTCACCTTAAAGTTACCTTCTTAGCTAAGCTTCTTACCGTACTTAGTAAGCTGTATCAGAGTGGGAGTTCTGCACACTTCAAACTATGAGAAGATGTTGTACGACTCAGGAGTAAACATCAAATCATGTCTTTCTATAGTATTGGCTCAGGCATCTACACTCAGGTAGAAGACAATCGTATTGGCAAATGGTCAATGTAAATTGATTTTTCTTACTTCCAATATTTGTTTCCCATTATAAATCACCATTGGCTAAAAAGCCACACAAAAGCTTCATAGCAACATTGCATTAAAATTTCAGCAGTTGATTCTTGAGGCAAATGATCAAGATGCTGACAAAATGATCACGCTAGCAAACACAAATGACACGGGAAGTATCTTTGTTGCCGAAAAGCAGTACTTTCAATATTTGCAATGCTAATTTAATATCATTTTCCTGATCTATAAATGTCAGGGATCATGTTATGAATGACTCAACTTTTCAACTGAAATATCTTTTTTTTCTTTTTTACTTGAAACCATTAAAACTATATACCAAAACATTAGCATCCAAAAGCTTAACAGCTGTTCAAATTGAGTGCAAATACCAGCAATATACATTCTGCAAAATACACATTAAAAAAAAATACAATCCAATATCTTCAAGTGTTGTTGAGGTTGTATGTCTCCCCTGGGAGAGCTGGTAATATTGTACGAACATGTCGATTATGCCTGGGATAAGTTTACTTATAAGATTACCATGCAGTTGCCAAGGATTAAAAGATTATTGGGAGCCTTTTGCTAGCTGTACCTTTTGTATTAATTCATAAATCAATCAATTAACAAATTCTAGTAGTTAATGTGAGAGTGGTGGGGGGCAGGAGACTGTCTTCTAGGATAAAGATGACTCACACGTCTTTGTATGTGCGAATATTAAAACGCCCTTATGGAGTATACAATAAATATGTTCTGATTAATGACAGGTAAAATTTTTTGAGACACAAATACAATTTATGGTCCAAGCAATTCACCATTGAACACTCTATCAGGCATTTCACCATAACCATTGACATGATGTAACTTTATAATTCTTTAAATACCTCATTTCATAGACTCCACAAAGATAGTTCCCTTTTGGATTTAAATGGATTTAATAAAACTACTCCAGAAAACAAGTATAAGACAACAGAAACACCTATTCAAAGAGGAACTTTCCAGCAAAAAGCCAGAGAGATTTTGTTTTAGTCCCATATCATTTAAGTCAATTTCAAATGTTCCAAATACAAAATATCATTATGTTAAGTACTTACAAATGCTTAAAACAAACCCTGCTGCATAAGGAGTTTTACCGAGGCTCTCACTGAATCACATATCTGGTGACAACCTTGTGTGGCGCCTGTCCCAGCCTTGTGGTCTAAGTTAAAACTGATACAGATACAGGCCCTGATCAATACACACCAGTATCACACACCACAACTACACTGCTGATATGTACTACCATATCTACCCACCTTTATCAAACTAACATAAAATTTCTTTCAACAATACACACCTATTAAATTTTATTGCTCTGATTAGAAAACATGTGCAAGCAGCTAGTCCATAAAAAGTGATACATCAGGAATTAGATACTTGACACAGAAAATACCCACAGTAGCACTGTGTTATTAAAAGAAATAGCAGTATGGTTTCTGATAACAGTTTGGTAGGTGTGTGCTGTAGGTTGGAAGCTGCCAGGCCAGAAAACTATGCTTTTCATATACGTGGAATTGATACTAGTGATCAAAACAATTTAACTGGGTCTAGCTTTACTGTTCAAATTTGTTGTGAATCAATATTCATTTGTATAAACAGTGATTGAAAAGGTGGCATGTTAAAGTACTTGCCAGAAGGCTCTTTGTTAATTCTAATACAATCAATGTGTAACATCAGACAGTGAATGCTAAATAAGTATGCAACTAGGCAATCAGGGAAGGGATTAATGAACTGATTCACAGGTAATAAATATCTCTAATCACATGTTTCCATGTTGCCGTAGATGTATTTATTTTGTGATATTCCTTGTATCGTCAAGGAAAATGTGGCTGGCCAAAAAGCTCTTAGGAAAAATTCAACATAATATTTAATAACCTTGAATTTTCAATAATAAAAAAAAAGTTAAGTGTTTTTATTTCAAGGTAATTATCCTTTTAAATCAATCATGTCACTAACACAACTTTTGTAAGTGGAGAGGTAAAACCATATACCATCTACTGGCAGCAAATGAACATTTGTTAAAACATGCTACATAATCATATTCAGCAATAAATAGATTTAAAAATATTAAATGTAAAGAGGGCAAATCTGTGACCAGACATCAACCTAAAAATTGGCTTTCAACCAAGGAAACACAAAATTTCTTTTATTTATTTATTCAAGATAGTAGAACTTACCACAGGAGGTGTTTCCATCCAGACACTGCAGGGTTTTGGTGGGGGGTGGAGGGGCGGGTGTGGAATTGGAGGTGGTGTGATATTACGTATTTCAGGATCATTCTGGAATTCAGGTTCTGAAATAAAAAAAAGTTTTTTCAATCACCTAATGTATACTGCCCCTTGCATATGAGTTTTTTCAATAAAAAATTCAAAATTACATCATTCAAAATTAGCTCTTAACAGCTTTAAGTAATTTTTTTCTATGCTGGAAATCTTTTACAAAAGAATGTAAGTAAATGCATACAAGTGATGTGGTAAGACAAACCATGAAAGCTGTTAAATTTTTGTGCTAAATTTTACTTATATGTGCAATGCTGAAATAGTTTTTCTGCACATGCACTTGATGTTATGCATATTCTTTAGAAAATATTCACATAATACATATGCTCAGAATATACTCACTACAACCTATCATAAAAGTGTCTGGTGGATCCAATCTACAATTCAGGCTGTGTATGAAACCAGCTTTTTAATATTTTCTTGTATATTTTGAAAACAGAAAAAATTCATCAAACTTGTCAATATAAAAAAGGTTAAAAACTTACCATTTTCTTTATCCACAATGGTTACATCTAAAACAGAAAAAAAAAGAAGTAATCATTTCTAAAGTTCCTCATTACCCTACATCATCAATTTACATCACTGAACAAATCATCCATTTAAATATCAAACATATCACATCTTTTTACTTCTAAAATGATTCTTTTCTTGGGCCACAGAACAAAATTATATGGAGAGGCATTAACATCAAACCCATCACATTTAATTTCTAAAACTTTTCTTTTCTCAAGTCACAAAATGAAATTATATGGACCGCACATGTTAATCTTTACAACTTACCTATCTTTTCATCCCAGTCATCCTCCTCTTTCACCTCCACCTCGGAAACCGCAGGTGATTCAGGTCGCACATATTCTGGCTCCGTGGAGGGCCTGGCAGACCTACGTCCGCCGTGTCCCTGACTGCTGCTGTCTTTCCTGTCAATATCTACATCAGAGTATTGGTGATGGTGGTGGTGATGATCATGGTGATGAATCTCTGTGGAATGGTCACGCTCATGAAGTATGGCACTCTGGACGAAGTTGCAGAAATGGGGAATGTGGCCACGGGTTACCTGGTAGCGGAATAAAAAAATCAGAATTGTATGGATATAATTGTACTTCTTCTTATTAATCTTATATGTACATGTAATAATCAACCTATTTATTAATAATAGATATACGAAAAAAA